GCTAGAATGATGAAATGACTGGAGACCATACCACATAAGGATAAATTAAAAGAATTGAGTAAGTTATAGCCTGGAGGAAGAAAGACGAGGGACAAATGACTTGTCTACAGAAGTATCTGTAGGTCAGGTCCATTAGAGAACACTGAACAAGAAGTCAGAAAGCCAGAGTTCTAGTCTTTATGCCTGTAGGCAATTAACTTCATTTCTCAGAGTCTTCATTTTCTTATCTGTAAACTGGGGATGATAATACTAGCCTTCTCTTTTTCACAGAGTGATTATGTAAATTAGATGAGAAAATGGATGGTAGAGACATTTTGTGAGTTACCAAATACTAAGCTAGTATTAAGTTGGTATTAAGCAAAAAGCTGACTTTAAAATGATGATGGGAGGCAAAAAAAAAAGTCCAATTAGGATTGGATTTTCCCATGAAAAAAAAGTAGGGACGTTAAAAATGCAATAATTTGCCCCAGGAGACATGCATATAGAACTGTAGGATTTAGAGCTAGGAGGGACCTTAGAGATCATATAATTCAACCTTCTTGTTTTCTAGATGAAGAAACTAAGAACCAGGAAAGTTAAATGTCTTATCAAAGTCACATACAGAAATGAAGTATCACAGTTGAGTTTCAAAGACACTAAACTATGAGTCTAACCCTTTCCATTACTCCTTTGGAGTATTTGGACATCTGGGTGACCAAACCTTGTGACTTCTAATACCAACCTTCCAGTCTGATAAAGGCTATGGCACAAAGAAGAAGCCAGGGGAGTTGCCAAGTCAAGACATTTCATTTCTAATCTTTAAAATAATTTTATTCTAAGGCTTGATGCAATCACTACAATGCTATCCATAAAACAGGACCGTCTGAAGGACCTCAACAGACATAAGGGCTTACCTTTCCAATGCATCTCTTTAAAGAACATATATAGTCCATGATGTTGGGAAATGCTTAGGTTGGCCATACTGTTATGATTCATTTGAGTCTCTGATTATCAGTATCGATGTTATCTTTGTGGTTGCATCTGTTAAGGGATTTTATGTGAACTTCAGCTGCACTAGAAATACCTTGTTGGAGGAGGGCCTTAGGATTGCTTTGTTCTAGTAAAGTCAACAAGCATTTATTAAGCACCCACAAAGTCCAGGCACTGTGTTAGGTGCTAAGTCCTGGAGATAGGAAGACAGGTGGAAAAACACCAGAAACAAAAAGTCCCTGCTCCAGTTTTGGAGACAACATGAAAACAACTATATGCTAAGAAGTATAGATAAGTTAGAGATAATAGAGGAAAGGTACTACCATTAAGGGGATCAGGAAAGGCTTCTTGCATGCAGAAGGTGAGATTTTAGCTGAGAATGGAGAACATGCCAGACATGAAAGACTGACAGTGAAAATGCATTGTCAGGAGATGGAGGGTTGTGTGAATCCCTACCCTCAGGAGTTTATATTCCACTGGGGATAAGACAACAGTGCACACAGAGAAGTAAATATATATTATCTTGGAGAAGAGTAGAGCACTAGAGAGTTGAAGGAAGACCATAGAAAAGGTGGCATCTGATGTAAGACTAGAAGTAAGATAATGATTCTGAAAGGTAGAGGTGACAAAAGAGTGCATTTCAGACATAGAAGATGGTTTGTATAAATGTATGGCGGTAGGAATTGGCATATCTAGATAAAAGTTGCATTGGTAATCTAGTCTGGCTAGAACTGCATGAAGAAGGATAATTTATGGGTAGGAACAGGTTAGAACCAGAATATGGAGAGCCTGAAATGCAAGGTTGGAGGATTTGTATTTATCCTGTGGTAAATAGGGAGCCATTGAAGGTTTGGGAACAGGGAAGTGATATGCTCTGCCTTGAGCCTTAGAAAGATTATTGAAGCATCCATGGCAAGGTTAAGTTGCAGAGAGGAAAAACTAGAAGCAAGAAACCAGCCAAGATAGTATTACAATGTGAAAAGACTGAATAAGCTATAGAAGTTAAAAAGAAGGAATGAATGGAGGTAAAATTGACAGCCTAACAATTGATTGGACAGAGAGTTAGGGACAGCAGAACTGTGAACAATTCATGTAGTTATAAACCTGAGTCTTTGAGAAGGTGGTGGGCCCCTTAACAGAAATAAAGGAAGTTCAGAGGCTTTAGGACAGCAGTGATGACTTTGGCTTTGTACAAGTTGAGTTTCAGATGTCAATGAAACATCCAAGTGGCAAGATCCAGCCATCAGTTGGCAATCAGATACTGGAGTTCAAGAAAGAGACTTCATTGTTGTTCACTCATTTCAGTCATGTCTGACTCTTTGTGACCCCATTTGGGGTTTTCTTGACAGATATTGGAGTGGTTTGTCATTTCCTTTCTCCAGCTCATTTTTACAGATGAGAAAACTGAGGCAAACCAGGGTTCAGTGACCTGCCAGAGTCACAAGCTAGTAAGTGCCTGAGACCAGATTTGAACTTGGGTCTTCCTGACTCTAGGCCTGATGTTCTATCCACTGCTCCACATAGCTGATTAAGAAAGAGATTAGTGTTCAATATATAAATTCAGGCATCACGTGTATCTGGATGATAACTGAAGTGGTGTGAATGAGATCAACAAGAGTGTCTAAAAAGAGAAGGCCTAGTAGTGATACATGGGGAGCACCCACATAAGAGGACATGAAATGGGTGATGAGGAGACTGAAAGGGAGACTGAAAAGGAGCAGTCAGAGAAGTAGAAAGAGAACCCAGAGAGGAGGGTGTCAAGTTAAGGGAAGAGAAAATAACCAGAAATGGGAAATGGGATGTGGAAAGGAAGGGTCACCAGTGTTACAGTCTACAGAAGAGTTAAAAAGAATGAGGGTAATTTTTTAAAGGCCATATGATTTGACATTTAAAGATCATTGGTGATGCAAAAGATTGGAAAAGTAAATTGAAAAAATCCTCAGTGACTCCATATTTACTTGCAATTTTAAGAAGGAAGAATCTAGATATTTTCTCTTTTTTTTTTTTACTTTGTATCTAAAGGCCTTTTCCATTTGTAGGCAAATAAAGTTAAAACTATAACAAAAGGGCAGGGGAAGAGCAGAAAAAGCTCATGACCTTGCAAAGGAAAAGCAGCATTGTAGGATTGGAAGTCAGATTATAAGGGGCTGAGAAGTAAGGGGGTGGTGACACAGTGGAGGCAACAATATACATGATGTGAAAGTAGTTTGGCAGTGAAATGGAGAGCAGGAAAAAGGTTTGGTTTTTAATCTGAAAAGTTTGGGGATGACCTGAGCATGTTTGTAGGCAATGGGGAAGTAGCCAATAGGTAATGATTGAAAAACAGAGAGAGAGGCAATGAATAATCAGTGGGGTGAGTTCTTAGAAGAGACAAGAAAGGAAGTGATTGAAGACCCAAATGGAGAGATTATCCTTGATAAGAAGAGCCCCTCATCCTCAGACTGAAAGAAAGAGTAGATGGAGGTGGAGAGGGCTTTGAGGTATGGAGTAGAGAAGATAAGGGAGCCCATCACAGAAACTGCTGTACAGCCACCATTCTCCTATCCTATACTTGTGCAACTGATTTTCTTTGTCTCTGAGTGCTGGGCTTTATATTGCCAAATCACAGAATCTCAGAGTTGGAAGGAACTTCAGAGGCCATGTGGTCCGACTGAACAAGAACCCCCTCTTGTTTCAGTTATCCTCACAAACCTGGAAGCTGGTCATCCAGAATACCTCCTGGGGCAGCCCAATCTTTATTAGGACAGCTCTAAATGTCAGGAAGTTTTTCCTTATATCAAGCTTAAATCTACTTCTTTTTGTCAAACTTTTACTCCAATTTCTATCCAGGAAGAACAATTCTAATGCTTCTTCCACATTGATCTCTTAATTCCAAGTCACTAGTAAAAAGATTGGATCAAGTACCGATCCCTAGGGAAGTCCTCTCAAGTCCTTCCAAATTGACATTGGTCTGTTGATCAATGTGGTTTGGGTCTTGTTAGTGAACCTATTCCAAAGCTACCTTTCTGTACCATAACTCATGTTACATCCCTTCTTTTGTTCACCAAGAATATGGTGAGATGTTGTCAAATGTCTTGCTGCACTCCACATATAACAGTTCACAAGACTTGTCAATCTAATGACCTTATGGAAAAAGGAAATTGAGTGGAGTGAAGTTCTTAGCTTGTTCTAATTCTGTGATGATCTCTCGCTATTCTAAGTGATCCCCAAACCGCTCCTTTATGCCATTCTGGACCATACCTCTCACCAGGAACCGGTGTCAACCACCAAGATGTTCCCTCTGCTTCTCTCTTCTCTCATTATCCCAATGTTCTCTGACATGTTTCCTCTCCTTCAGGTTCATGGATTTCTACAGAGCTATGCAACTTCCTGATGGAAAATGTTTCTCTACCTCTCCTTCATGTATTCTATTATTTTTGGTCAAGATGTGTCTTTTTTGTTATGTTCTAGTTATGATTTAGATCCCACAAAATCTCAGTTATTCCGGAGGTTATGTTTACCTTCTTGAATCACATCTAATTCATCTCATTTGGATATCTGTCTCAGGTTCCCTGTCTTGGTACCATTCTGTGCAAAATGTCTAGATTCTTTACCATATCTTCCATTTTAATTGATTATTGGGATCACCAGTCATTTTACTTTGTGAGTTTACTTATCTGTTGACCCTTGAGGATTTAGGCAGGAAGATCTTAGTTTAATGAATGTTACCATCACACTCTCAATTCTTATAGGCCTTAGAGAAGGTCAGGCCCTAAACTAGGTCCCAAAACATCACAAATCTTAAAGTTTCTGTACACAGTTACTATTAGCTTTCTATTTAGTTTTCTGTACTTCATTAAATACACTCTATTTTCTGTTGTATCTTTGTCCATATTATCCATCTTTAGGTTGAGATAGAATAGAATATTAATATCTGTGACTTCATCAGCATTCTAGAATTATTGACTCTGAAACTGCTTTACTAGAAAAGAGATTAAAACGCAATTTCTGGAAGTCTAGTCTGGGGAATCCTTTTTGTTCCTCTTCCTCAGGGCATGTAGATTCAGCTGGTTGCCAGGCTTGGGACTACACTGGGACTCTGAAACCTGTCTGATGCCACAATGAAGTCACAGAACAAAAGCTTCCAATGACAATATGGGCCATAAAGTCTTACAGAAGTCATCTAGGTTCTGCGTATGGTTGGATGGATTTGGCTGCTTGGAGATTTAATTGGATATCTGGAGAAGTCAAGTTTGGAGAAACCAATGCCTTGTGACCTTCCAGAATTCTGGAACTCTGGCTATTTCTAAGACCATGGCGTGAAGTGAATTATCTTAATAGCAGGATGAACCATCATGGCCCCTCTGAGTCTGGAGCCACTAGACTGGGTAGCCCGGAGACAAAGGTCCAGAAAACTTTAGCTGGGTACTGTCACCCTTCTCTGGGGACAGTAGAAGAATCAAGGAGAGGATATTGGGGAGGCATTTTATAATTTTCTGTGGAATTGGACTTATGTTCCTCTAAATCATTGTTTTCAGATTTAAGTTCTACAAGTAGAAAGACTTAGGGATATCAAAGAGCAGGATCATGAAATTATAGGGCAGCTGTGATCCCTCTCCCTCCAGTAAATGTTTGGAACAAAATAACATACATAAAGGATAGGTCTGAAATGAGGCATGGATGGAATTCCCGTTCAGTTTCACAGGGTCTTTACCTAATTGAGAAATCTTAGAAGGTAGGTCCTATCTGCTAAAGGCTGTGCTCCTGATGACCCAATTAAGTAAGGTTGCTGATGGAGCACTTTGTACTGATTCTTACTAGTGCTCCTTGGGCATTACTCTGTTCTATCAGGACAAAAGTAGAATAAGCAGTCAGAACAAGAAATTCCATCCCTCTCAAACCGTAAGCCTTTGGGAGAGAGTTGTTCGTGGAGAAGCTTGGGGAAGGAGTCCAGTATTGATCCTTGGATTCCCTGCCAGCATTTTCATAAGATCTCATGTGGATATGGACACTTGGTCAGGCACTGTGTCTGAAACGAAAGGGGTCAGAAACTGTAGACTAGACCTCTAAGATGCCTGGCAAAAATCCATGCTCTACAGCCGTTTGACATCAAGGAGAAAGAGAGATTCCTGAATGGCTCATGACTACCCATTTATTAACCGAAGTGTTTGACAGGACTTCATAGTCTCCATTACGTCTGACTTGGAGGGCTTCAGCCAAGGAATCAAGTGATAGGAGGAAGAGAAATAATCAAAAAGGCCAACCACCAGACACCTGGGCTCACAAGCACCAAAGCAACTGCCCCTGTCACATCCTGGGGTTCCCCTACAGAAGAAAAGGGAGGCGTCAATTATTTACCACGCTGGGATGGAACAATGGAGATCAGTAGCTGGCTAAGAAGAATGAAGAAGCCATGGCCGGCAAGCAAAACGAACTGCAGATTCAACATCGCCATCTTTAAGAGCAAAGCACTGAGTACCATGAGGAGGCCAAATGTCTACCATGGGAGGTTTCTCATTACCAGGAAGGTAAGTGGCCTCAGCAGTAAGGTTAGAGACAGCCATTACATCAGCCACAATGCTGCTGAGCAGCTGCTATAAGGCAGCCTACAGTTTGGGGTGTTATTTTTAAGCTTCCCCTTATATCCCTCTTGCCTATACCTAAACTGATTTTTCTTTGCTATTTCGCATCATAGGTAGAGGACCTCATAGGAGAGTACACATTAAATGAGACTGGGATCAAGAATTTCCATTCTTTCATACTGATTCACTGAATGTAGATCTGCCTAGGACTCCAAGATTGAATCAGAAACAAAATGGCATCACTATGTTAGAGTCAAATTATAGCGCTTCCAACTGAGGCTGATCAAACCAATATGAACTCGGATTGCTCTTCCACAGACCGGGCACAAATAGTCCATGTGAACATTTGGGGTGGATTCTCTAAATGTGTGCATCTTGCATTTCGTTTTAGCTACTTCAATTCTGCTTTGCTCACAGAGCACAGCACTTTCATTGATGAGGGCACACCATGCTGTTTAGCATGATGTTTTCAGCAATGTTGTCAGATGCCTTCAATGAGGATGAAAATGGCGTCAAGGTCAGCTGCCTCAATGATGGTAAATTATTTAACTTGAAAAGGCTGCAGGCCAAGACTAAAGTGAAGGGAGAGTTGGTGCAATGGGAGCAGCTAGGTGGTATAGTGGATAGAGCACGGACTCTGGAGTCAGGAGGACCCGAGTTCATATCCGACCTCAGACCAAACACTTGACATTTACTAGCTGTGTGACCCTAGGCAAGTCACTTAACCCCAATTGCCTTACCAAAAAAAGAGAGAGAGAGAAAGAGTTGGTGCGATGAAGAGAATGGTGGTACACAGCTGGGAAAGCTTAGGCAGGCACACTGGTCAGACTTCCCTCCAGCGATCCAGGTTATAATGCGTCTTCCAATTTACTGTGCCTTTTCTGCAAAGAGAAGGAAGTCAGTATGGGGAAGTGGAAAGAGTGCTGGATTTAAAATCAGAGGATCTGGGTTTGAATCCTGACTATGCCACTTCTGACTGTTATTCTAGTTTTCCCTAGTCAGTTCCACTCTCTAGGATTCAGGGGTCAGAAACGATAGGGCCAAATCAGAATTCCCATAGAAAAACAGTAGAGTCAGAGTTGCAATGATGGATAGTGCTGAACTTGGAATCATCATAACCTGGTGTCAGACACTACTACCAAGCTTTCCTAGTGTATGACCCTGAGCAAATCACTTACCTTTTCTCAGAGGAATATCTTCACATATGGAAACCAACAAGGGTAAGAAGGGCTCTAAGCTGGGATAAAGTGCAACTAGCGCTTGAGGTAGAAAATAAAATGAACCAGGATGCTTCTCCTGAACTTTCATGATCTCCTTTTAACTATTTGATTTCATCACTCTTATTTTCCCTCTCCTGTGCCCTCCTGGGGAATGGGGAGGGGTGGAGTAGAAATATGGGAATAGGCATTTATATAGTGCCTACTATGTGCCAGGCTTTGTTCCAGGTTTTTTTTTTTAACATATTATCTCACTGGATCCTCACAACAACCCAAAAAGGTAGGAGGTGCTATTATTATCCGATTTTACATTTGAGGAAACTGAGGCAAACAGAAGTTAAGTGACTCGCATCAGAGGCCAAATCTGAACTCCGGTCTTCCTGACTCAAAGCCTCTCCTGACTTCAGTTCTAGCCACCAGCTGCCTCCTGTCACATAAACTCTCCTAATTTTATTCATCTACCCAAAGTCATATCCTTTAGAAGCCTACCCTATCCAGGTACTTGTACAGCCTTCAAAGTTATCTCCTTTCTCTCCTCTTCTTTCCCCTCTCATGTACGTCAGAACTCTCAGTTGTCCTATGAGATCTAAGTTCAGTCCATATTAACTACTGGGAAAGGAAAATATCAATTAATTTGTAAAGTTACTACTATATTCCAGGTGCTAGGGATATAAAGACAGAAATTAAATAGTTCCTCACCACCAGGAACCCATGTTGTAGTAGAGGATATAATATAAATAAGTCAAATTAAAATAATTTTGCGGAGTTAGGGGAACACTACAATTGGGAAGGTGGGGAAGTAATGAAGGAAGAATCTAGCTGCCCACATTGAATTCAAGCGACCAGATTTAGAGAGAGAACTTTCACTGGTGGTCAGGCCACCATCACTGTATTCTATGTTCTAGTTTCTCTTTTTACCATGATCCATCCTACCCCTTCCCCCGAAGTTTACTCACTTCCTTTGAGGAGCAAATAAATCCATACTGAAGTGTTCAGTGACATCTCCTGGGGGTATTTCCATCTGAAGAAGTCCTACTTAAATCAAAAGGTTGGATTTCTAGTGGTGGAGATGTTTTGGATATTTTGGACAAGGGGCCCAAAATTGCCCATCAGGATAGGCCAAGAAATCCGCCTATCCTTTGAGACAGTTAGTTAGCTTCACTCTCTTCTGTATTTCCTCAGCAGCCAACCACCTTGCAAGTGTCTGCCTGTAGGCTATGAGAAGGTCACCGGACAAAGTAAGAGTGGGATCAATGTAAATGTATCACTACTGGATAAGGAACATTCCTCAGTGATAATGAGTCAGTGGCATTAATCTACAAAGTACAGCACCTACTTACATGATGTGGAGGCATATACAGATTTAACATCTGTAGCAACACACAATGTTCAGGGTTATATATTTTGATAAAGGACATTTAGGTAATACAGTGGATAGAGCACCAGGTTCAAATCAAGCCACTTCTTAGCCGTATGACCCTGGGCAAGTCATTTAACGTTGTTTGTCTCCGTTTCTTCATCTGTAAAATGAACTGGAGAAGAAAAAGCAAAGTACTCCAGTATCTTTGCCAAGAAAACCCCAAACAGAGTCACAAAGAGTTGAGCATGACTGAACAACAACATAAGGTAGAGAAATGAAGTAGGCATGAAAAGAAGTGTGCCATCTGTCACACCCAAAAATTGTTACACAGCTGAAACAACTGAACAAAAACATTTTGATAAAAGATACAATTCCAGAAAAAATGCTGGCAGATTTTATAAGTATGGTCATATGTGAAAGAGTATGTCAAAGCCACAAATGCTATATAGAGGGGCAAATGGAAAGGTACAGGCTGAGGACGAGTGCAACGTATAACCAGTGAGAAATTTCAAAGCATGAGAGCAAAAGACGTGATCAAGGAAATGGATGATAGGGAGAGAAGATGAACTGATCGTGTGGCAAGGACAAGGGATGACAGCTGCATGTTCCAAAGGTGCCCTTGTAATGTCAGGAGAAACTGAGGAAGTCCTGGGGTGAGCCTATGAGAGGATAAGGCTAAGAGTCACACAGGATGACCAGGCATGGAGGGGTTGTGCTTTGTGTCATTGGAGAGAATTCCCAAATCAATGAGACTTTATTTGAATATTCCAAATAATATGGAAAACCATTTTGTAAAGCAGAGAAATTAAAAAAACAAAACAAAACAAAAAACTAAAGACTTATTCTCCAAATGTATCTTCATTTGAATTTGAAATTCCATGCATTCAATTTATTTTAGGAGGTGAGTGCTGTAACCAGCTCTGTGAAATTCGGTTTGGTGGAGAGTTCATTGCATTGGGAGTCAGGAAAGCTGGAGTCAAGTCTTCGCTCTACCATTTACTAGACATGGGACTTCTCCAAACCTCAGTTCTCTCATCTGTAAATTGGAATTTTTTGGCTAGTTGATCACTAAGGTCCCTTCTGCTTCTGACATTCTCAGATGCTGTGATATCAGCTTCATGATAAAGGAGGACCATGAGAGAAAACAGAAAGGGAGAGGAAGGAACGTGGGAGGAAGAGCTTGAAAGGGAAGCATATGTGGGTAAAGATAAAAGGAATATGGCACCTGGCAGGATCTTGTTACGGCAGAAATGGCAACGGTAGCAGCACTCAGCACAGTGCATTGTACTGAATAAATGCCCTTTGGATAGGACACAACATGGTTGATATTTTGTCTTTATTTTTCTGTTGTTTACAGAGAAAACTCTAGAACTGAGCAAGGTCTTAAGGAGAAATAAGACTGCCTCTCTCTATAGGAAGACAAAGAATTGGTTTGGGTCATGCTTCCCAAGTGGGAATGGAGCAAAAGGCTCCACAAAGTAGGAGGAGATTAGACCTGTATGTGGGTCCATCTGACCTTGACCTACAACTCAGTCACAGCTGTCTTTTGCTTCTTTAAATTTCCCTTAATATTCATATGCTCTTTATTTTATAGAAGCAGAATAATATGGTGGACAGCAAGACAGACTTGGAACTAGGACAATCTGGATTCAGGTCCCACCTCTGACACATACTAGCTGTGTCTGACCCTGGTAAGCCACTTAACCTTTAACCTCTCAATGCTATAACAACAAAAACAATAACATTTATAATAATGCTTCAAAGGGTTTTGCAAAAAGTCTTCATGTATTTTAACTCATCTGATCCCTACAACACCCCTATGAGGTAGGTAATATTATTATCCCCATTTTATAGATGAGGAAGCCTGGGTACAGAAAAGCTAAGTGACTTGCTCAGGGTCATAATTCTAGGGAGTGTCTGAGACAGGATTCAAACTCAGGTTTTCTTAGCTTTTCCAAGTCCTGTGTTTTCCACACTAGCCCATCTAGCTGTCCTCTAGGCAACTCTCAAAGACTACAAATTACCTAGAAGGTGCCAGTCTGCATTGATAAGAGAGAGTTTCCTTACTGGGAATTCTCTATACCAGTGAAGTGACAAGTCTGGTTACTATCACTTTTAAAATCCACCAACCCCCCCATACTTCCAATGGTAGAGGAAGCAAGTGGGTTCTATCTTCTCCTATATTGTCACATGTTCCCAGAGAATAGTATCCCATATCCTCTCCTGATTTTCAAGAAGAGGGCTAGAGTCTGAACTTTTTATATCATTGATGTAGGGACTCATCTGATAGCCACTAGAAGTTGTATCTGAGATATTCATGTCACAGAGCATATGAAGCTAGTTATAGAAAATGGAAGTAAAGCATCATGCGTTCTTCCTACAGTATTAGAGCTAGAAATGCAATAGCTTTATTAATACTTCAAAAGAGCTATTATTTTGGTGGTGTGGATGTTTCCTTCGTCAGGGAAACCACAACCTCTCTGTGTCTTAACAACCAGTCTCTTTATGAAATATTCTACCCTGCTGTCCTCCCTCTAAGAAAAAAAGAGGTTTACCTTCTTCGCCACTCTAGTGATGATTCTAGCTGAATATAAGAAGGCTGGTTCTCAGATGGTGCAGATTCTGTCTTTGGCCTTCACACTGTTCTTCCTGTGTTTTTGGACCTAATCACCGCCTTGGAGAGGGCAAAGTTACCTCCACACCTAATGAGGCATTGGAGGAGTTCAGTGAAAAGCTAAGGGGACAAGTTTGCTTAATACTGGAACTCCCACTTGTAGAATCATACTTTAGAACCAAAGTTGGAAGGGACTTGAGAAATTATATAGAAACCTGTGTCAAAGCAAGAATTCTTTTCATCACAGTCTTCACAAGTGGTCATGCAGCCACTGACTGAAGGCCTTCTTTGAAGGGAGGGACTCACACTGTCCTCCCCACTCCCAGAGCTCACTTCATTTTTGGACATCTCTAAAGGTTTGGAAGTTTTTCCTTTTAATTAAGCAAAAAACTATCACAGGACAATTTCCATTTCTTCCCTCTGGAACACTCTAGTCCTTCTTTCATGGGATAGTTAGCCTTCAAATACTGGGAGACTAGTATAATTTAACTCCCTATCCATACTTCTTTATACTTCTTTCAACTAATCTTTGTTTAGCGAGGTTTTGAGTCTTCTCAGTTTTCTTTTCTCTGTCTGTCTCTGTGTCTCTGTGTCTCTGTCTCTGTCTCTCTCTCTCTCTGTCTCTCTCTCTCTCTCTCTCTGTCTCTCTCTCTGTCTCTCTCTCTCTTTCTCTCTTTCTCTCCTGTCCCCATATCTCTCTTTTCTTTTTGGTCCAGACTTGTGATTTCATTGATATGGGGATCTTGCAGTGACAGAACTCGCTCTAAAAAGGCAGCTCAGCAACTCTCCTGCCATTTGGTCTAAGAGAGTAACCTGTAGGCTCTAAGAGATAAAAGCCATTGGCCCAGGGGCACATAACCAAGGTGACAGAGACCAGATGGCTTTGAACTCAGGTCTTGCAGACTCTGAGGCCAGTGCAGGGGTGGGGAACCTGCAGCCTGGAAGTCACATGTGGCCTTCTAGGTCCTTGGGAGTAGCCTTTGGACTGAGTCCAAGTTTTACAGAGCAAATCCTTTAATTAAGGAGATTTGTTTTGTGAAGTTTGGATTCAGTCAAAGGGCCGCACTTGAGGACCTAGAGCCATGTGTGGCCTTGAGGCTGCAGGTTCCCCACCCCTGGAGGCTGCTACTCAATCTTTTCCCCAAGATGTAGCCCTCAAAGCTGAATAGGGACCTCCAGATGTAGTCTGAAAAGAGCAAGATTATCACCTCCCTAGAGCCTTTGTCTCTCTTAATGCCAGCCTAGAATCACATCAGTCTTTCAGCTACCAATTTATTGTTGTTGTTATTGAGTCATCTCAGTCATGTCCAACTCTTTGTGACCCCATTTGGAGTTTTCTTGGCAAAGATACGAGAATGTGTTGTCATTTCCTTCTCCAGCTCATTTTACAGATGAGGAAACTGAGGCAAACAAGGTTAAGTGACTTGCCTAGGATCGCATAGCTGGTAGGTGTCTGAGGATATATGTGTGTGTATGTATATATATATATATATCACTTACATTGTGCTTATACTAAAATATCTAGGGTTTTTTTTTTATCTGAACTATCCTCAAGCTGAGCCTAACCTGTCTTGTATTTTTGCAGTAGGTTTGGGTTTCTTTTTAACCTATGTAAAAGCAACATGATAGGATGGCAAGAGCCCTGGATTTGGTCAGAAGACCTAAGTTCATATCCCACTTCTGCCACTTACTACTATAGGTGCGACCTTGGGCAAGTCATCGTTTGTGAGTCCAAGCCTCTCTTTGGATTTTAGCTTCCTCATGTGTAAAATGAGGTGATTAGACAAAATGATGTCTAAGGCCCCTTCATAGTCTAAATCCTATGATCACTTAACTTGATACTTTTCCTATTAAATTTCATCATATCGCTTCAAGCCTATCACGTCTAGACTTTATGGAACTCTGCTCTGTGATCCAGCATGCTAGCCATCCGTCTCAGCTTCTTGTCATCTGAATCCTTTATAAGCACACTCACTATAGCTTCAAGTCATTGACACACTGGCTGTAGACAAAAGGGACAAAAGAAAGTGGAGAAGGAGCCCGTCTTGGAGCCAAGTCCTGCCTCAGACACTTACCATCTGTGCGACTCCAGGCAAGTCACTTCCCCTCTCTCAGCCTCAGTTTACTCATGTGGAAAATGAGGACGGTAGGAGCACCTACCAGTGATATATGTAAGTAAAGTGTTTTGTAAACCTCAAAGTACAAGAGATGTCTCCAAGACTGATTTATTAATCAACCCTTCTTTGTTTCTAGTTATTTAACCAATTCTCAATCCTCCTAACCACTAAGAGAGAGCTTCTAGCTCTCCATCTTGTCCACAAGCTTGTCTTGAGACGCTTTAACCCCGTCAAAAGTGCAGATGAAGTTAGCCTGGCGTGTTTTGTTCCTAATGAACCCAACCTGATTTGTAATGATCAGTTTCCCCTTCTAAATGTTCATCAACTCTACCTTTAATAATGAGTTCTAGAATTTTTCCAGGACTTAAAGCCATATTCACTGGCCTACAGTCTGAAGACTCCACCTTCCCCTAAGTAAAAGAGGAAAAGAAAATCTATATTCCTACTGCTCTATGAAGATAATTATGATATTCTTCTTAATAATAATAATCAATCAATAAACATTTATTAGCATCCAGTGCTAATTAGCATCCAGGCACTATGCTAAGCATTAGGGCTATTGCTGCTTTCCATCACAATATTGTGATTTACAGTATCCAAGGCATACTGTACAACCAACAATATTTGGGAGTTGGACAAATGATGGCTCAGAGAGCTTGTGACTTGTCCAAAGTCCCACAGCTAGTACTCGGGCCTTAATTAGTGACTGATATTGATAGAGGAGGTTCGCAGAGTTGGTTTTAGACTCCATTTGGTTCCACTTCATAAATACATCAGACTTAGCAACACATGAGTCAGAAACACTATTATTCTTTTGAAGGGGTAGTTGGGCAAAGTAGTAAGCCAACTAGACAACTTTATTATCATCTGGGTCTGCTGCTTGCAAAGTTAAGGCCAATTGCCTACCTACTTTGCCTAGGTTTCTTATCTGCACAGTAAGAAATGTATTAGATGTTCTCCTTTTCTCTTTCAGCTCTGATACCCAGATTCTATCCCTAAGATTCTATGATTCTGCATGCATATCTCCCATCGACTCATTTACCCAGTAGGTGGCAGACGAGACCCATGAACTCTTCTACTGACTTAGGCCATTAGCTTTTGAGAAAGTTGTTAGGAGTCCCCTCTCATTGAAAGAGAAGTTCCAATCTCTCTAGGCACAATTGCCTAGCCCTGTGGGAGAATTATCATGAATTCTGAATGAAGAGGATTTGAATTAAAAAGATTGTACTGCCTAGAAAATATAAACAAAACTTTGCCATGCCATGGCTTTTGGAACATAGATGTAGGGCTGGAAGGGCCCTTAGAGCCCCTAGAGTTCAATCTCTCCATTTTGCATGTGAGAAAATGAATACCCAGAGAGTTTAAATTCAAGGACATATGGCTAAAAAAAAAATTCAATTGAATTCAAATCCAAAGTCCTACTTACTAAACAATACTGTATCTCACTTTCTTTTTCTCTTTCTTTTTTTAAATGATGGAAATCAATTGAATAGACAATTGAGATTTCCATCTAGCCCAGGAATCCATATCTGATCTTTTCTGGTGGAAAGGAGAAGAGTTTATTGACACAGCACCATACTTGGTGTCAGGAAGAACCAGGTTCCAATCTTATTAGCTATATGACAGTGGCCAAGTTATTGAGGCAAATGTGATGTGAACAGTGAATACTATGATTAAAGGTCTTCGTTAGTGATATAACTGGATCCTAAAAAAGTCTCTCAACATCAGTTTCCCCATCTGTAAAATGTGCATAATAGAAATAAACCTCACAGGGTTGATGTGAGGATCAAATGAGATAATGTGGGTAAGGCACTCTGCAATCCTTAAGTGCTGTTTATGTAAAAGTGAGCGCCATTTTTACTAACCTGTTGATAGATATTTGTTCATGTGTCGATATCTGGGGAATAACTGCCTACTGAGCCCCACTGTTAGTAGAAGGCTGGAATGTACTACAATCAAC